CAGTCGTCAATGCCGGTCTCTGCGCTGGTGTCGACCGCGATCCGCAGGACCGAGATGGGGAAATGGGTTCGACAGATTGAGGGCGCCCAGAGGTGGTAGGTGCGCATGCTAGTGTACTTCGTCGCAACCTCGCGCTGCGGCTTGCCCGAGTATACCTCCACCCACGAGCCGTCCGGACTCTGGGCCAGGATCTTTACGACCTGTCCCATCCCTCGCGGGGAGCCAATCTCGAGCCGGACGACGTAGACGGGCCGTGCGATCGCCACGTCGATGTACTCGGTGAACGGCGGGTAAAAGTCTCGCTGCCGGTGGTCGATGAGGAACTGCGCGCCGAAGGCGACCGACGTATCGGGGTCGCTCAAATTCCCGTCGACCAGCCCCTGCTTGAGCGGGCTCCACACGCCAGCGGCTAGAGGGACAATCTGAGCCCGGGGCACCCCGCTCTTAGAGATCGGCTCGTCAGGAGAGGATAGACCCTCAACCAACTTGCACCCGCCGGGGTAGGCGGAGACGCCCTCGTCAACCTTGACGCTAGGGTCGATGAGGCACCGGCGCAGTACGCCCGCGTCGCGCTTGTACATGGGCACGTAGTCGATGTCGACCATCCCCTTCACCTCGTCCGAGCTTCTCACGTACGCCGCCGCCTTGATGCCGTTCACCTCGTGGTAGGCAAGCACGCCGGGCGGGATCGGGCGCGACGCGTCCGATACCCACTCGCCGCTCGTGGAGCACTCGCCGTAGGTCCCGCAGTCGGGCTTGCCAATGACTGCGAGTGGGTGGTAGTCGACGCTCGGAGGTTTGCCCCAGAAGGAGCTCGAGCTCATGACCGCGGAGATGTACTGCCCAAACACGGAGTCGCCGACGTTGAAGGTCGAGTAGACCTGCGTGATCGGAGGGCCATCCTGCGCCGCGCCGCTAGTCTCGTTGTAGGGGTACAGGTCGCCTAACCTAGGGAGCTGCGTGATCGCGAGCTCGAGTGGCTGGCCGTCCTCGACGTCGTTGGGCGTCAGCCGAATGACCA